GTAGTTTATTCGGATATAAACTGCGGACAGTATGACAATCAGCACCGACAGCAGGATTGTAGCGCCGATGTTAGCGTACAATACAGTCTTGCAGTCCATACAGTCGCTATCAATAGGGGATTGGGAGGCAGGGGTTGTAGTGTTGATATTAGTGGTCATTATATTTGGAATAAAGACTTGACAAAACTTTTTAATACTATTTTTGAATCTAATTATACAATCAATAAATGTTTAAAATGAAACTTATTATGAGATTTCCTTTAGTCTGTAAATTTGTAGTGAATTGTATAGACTTTATGTGAAATGTCAGAAACAGTTGTAAATTTAATTAAATTTGTTAATTTGTTCAAATTTTTTAGGCTCGTGAGTTAAGTAAATTTTAATACACATTATACAAATTAATTGTTAGTGATTTTTATTAGTTTACTGTACATTATATTCAATACTTTAAAATCAATTATAAGTTTAGCGTTAGTTTAGGTTAACTATATTAAACTATTACGGCAGTCCCAGGAATTCCAAGTTTTAATGCTCTGGATTTACAACTAGACAAAGTTGATAATTGTAAATGTGAGGACACATCAATACAATTGTAATATTAAAATGTAATTACTTATATGAATTAATTAATTATAGTAAAATTGTTTTTTATTACAGTATTCATATAACTTAGCTTGTTTATTGTGCAATTGCATATTCTGACACACTTATATAATTACTGTTTATGTGAGATAGGAAACCAATTGTTAGAAAAAATAACTTTGGAAATTACTGGGATATTTATGGCTATAAAGGTTATATGCTAATATAATTTGTAATATATGTGTCTGATAAATGTCTAGTTTATTGCATAGAATACATAGAATATTCTCAAAAGGATATGCCTATTTTAGAAAATTGTTTAATGTTAAATAAACAATTTAACATTAACATTATTGTTTAATAGAAACTACCGGTATCAATAGAAATAAAATAATAAAGTATTAACACTATTAAAATAATTATTTTCAAAGTTTATTGAAAAAGTAATGTACTCAAAGTATAAAGTAACCAAGATAAGTTATTAGGCACACGTTGTCGATACAAAGTGCTCATTATAATCGTTGCCAACCGTTAATGATAACCTATTCAACCGATCGGTACGACAGACCTACGAAACTGTGTATAAACAGGTGTGTAGCTTCTACCTGTCCTTATCTAATAACTTAATACATTATTTCACTGCAATAGATCGTGTAAACACTTATAACTTATTAGTTTTAAGCCATAGCATGTAAGGTATGGTATGGCAGTACCAAATTGTGTTAATTTATAAATTATAAAAATTAATTAAATATAAAATAAATTATAAGTTTAGCGTTAGTTTAGGTTAACTATATTAAACTATTACGGCAGTCCCAGGAATTCCAAGTTTTAATGCTCTGGATTTACAACTAGACAAAGTTGATAATTGTAAATGTGAGGACACATCAATACAATTGTAATATTAAAATGTAATTACTTATATGAATTAATTAATTATAGTAAAATTGTTTTTTATTACAGTATTCATATAACTTAGCTTGTTTATTGTGCAATTGCATATTCTGACACACTTATATAATTACTGTTTATGTGAGATAGGAAACCAATTGTTAGAAAAAATAACTTTGGAAATTACTGGGATATTTATGGCTATAAAGGTTATATGCTAATATAATTTGTAATATATGTGTCTGATAAATGTCTAGTTTATTGCATAGAATACATAGAATATTCTCAAAAGGATATGCCTATTTTAGAAAATTGTTTAATGTTAAATAAACAATTTAACATTAACATTATTGTTTAATAGAAACTACCGGTATCAATAGAAATAAAATAATAAAGTATTAACACTATTAAAATAATTATTTTCAAAGTTTATTGAAAAAGTAATGTACTCAAAGTATAAAGTAANGTATATAAACTCAAACACAGACTCACAGAAAGTCAGTCAAGTTTTCTAATTGTAATCCAAAATACAATTACAACAAACTTACAGCAAAAGTAAGTCTATTTGAAAAACTTATAATTACCCAAAAACCTAACCAAACATCCCTTTCCCCTGTAGGCAATGCAAGTGCCGCTCGTCGTAGCGCTAATTGCCTGCGCCATTAGCCAGGCATTGGGCGCCGGGGTCTACACCCAGCGCTTTCTGGATCAGTACAGCAAAATACACAACGCATCCAATGGCTACTTCTCAAAGGAGGGCATTCCCTACCACTCGGTCGAGACCCTGATGGTGGAGGCGCCTGACCATGGTCATGAGACCACGTCCGAGGCCTACAGCTACTACATATGGCTGGAGGCAATGCACGGGGCACTGACCAAGGACTTTTCATCGTTCAACACGGCGTGGGAGACGATGGAGAAGTACATCATACCGGGCCACCAGGATCAGGCTACCAACAGTTTCTACCATGCTGACAAACCGGCCACGTTTGCCGCCGAGCAGGACCTGCCCTCCCAATACCCGTCGCCCATGGAATCGGGTGTACCGGTAGGTCACGACCCCATCGCCGATGAGTTGAAGTCGTCGTACGGCTCGCCCGACATCTATGGCATGCATTGGCTTCAGGACGTGGACAACATCTATGGGTTCGGTAACGCGCCGGGAGTTTGCGAGGGCGGACCGGGCACTGCCGGCCCCTCTATGATCAACACCTTCCAGAGGGGGCCCCAGGAGTCGGTGTGGCGTACGATACCTCAGCCCACATGCGATTCGTTCAAATACGGCGGCAAAAACGGCTTTCTCGACCTCTATGTCGGGGACAGTAATTACGCCAAACAGTGGAAGTTTACGGCCGCTCCGGACGCCGACGCCCGAGCCATTCAGGGCGCCTATTGGGCGGGACAGTGGGCTAAGGCGGCGGGAAAGGAGGCCGAGGTGTCGGCCACACTGGCAAAGGCCGGCAAACTCGGGGATTACCTCCGATACGCCCTCTTTGACAAGTACTTCAAAAAGATCGGCCAATGTTTCAACCGAAACACGTGTCCGGGCGGCACCGGTAAGGACTCGGCCCACTACCTGCTGTCGTGGTACTACTCCTGGGGGGGCGCCACCGACACGTCCGGGGGCTGGGCCTGGCGTATAGGAGACGGGTCGGCCCACTTTGGCTACCAGAACCCGTTGGCCGCCTACGCCTTGGCCAACGACCCGGCGCTCAAACCCAAGAGCCCGACGGCCGCCGACGACTGGACTAAATCACTGGAACGACAGCTCGAGTTCTACGCCTACCTCCAGACCCAAGAGGGGGCCTTTGCTGGCGGCGCGACCAACACGTGGAACGGCCGCTACGACAGCCCGCCCGCCAACCTCACGGCCAACACCTTCTACGGTATGGTCTACGACTGGGAACCGGTATATCACGACCCGCCGTCCAACCAATGGTATGGTATGCAGGCCTGGAGTACCGACCGGTTGGCGCAGTACTACTACGTGACGGGCGATGCCAAGGCTAAGGCCCTGTTGGACAAGTGGGTGGCCTGGGTGTTGGCCAACACCAAGTTTGATGGCGACAAATATGAGTTGCCGTCGAGTCTCGAGTGGAAAGGCATTCCCGCCTCGTATTCCGGGGGCGCCCCTCACGTCAACCCCGACCTACACGTGACGATCACTGAGTCGAGCGCCGACGTGGGGATCGCCGCCTCCACCGCCCGGACCCTCGCCTACTACGCGGCCAAAGCCAACCACACGGAGGCCAAGACGGCGGCTAAGAAACTGCTGGACGGCATGTGGACGCTCTACCAGACCGGCAAAGGGGTGGCCGGAAAGGAGGTGCGCAAAGACTACAACAGGTTCGCCGAGAAGGTGTATGTGCCGTCCGGTTGGACCGGAAAGTACCCCAACGGCGATACCATCGACTCGACGGCCACTTTCATAACGTTGCGCTCCTTTTACAAGAAGGACAAGGATTGGGCTAAAGTGGAGGCCTATCTCAATGGGGGGCCGGCGCCCGAGTTCACGTACCATAGGTTCTGGCAACAGGCAGACGTGGCACTCGCTCAGGGAGCTTATGGGCTACTGTTCAACGAATAGACTAC